TGTTGGTGCGAGCGAGCGGTCAGTCACGTGTGTGTAGGATGGCCGAACTTAAGGCGCTTCCCCTGAAACTTACACAATACAATATTGATTTGGGGGTTTATATGAATGTGTTTCTGAGGGGAACTGACTGTCTTCAGAAAAGTTTACGTGGTATATTCTTTTCATCTCATCTCTGTATAGTTCATATTAAAGCAGTGTTTATTAGGAAACAAATCAAAGAAAAAATAAACAAATTCTACTGTTCCTAATATTCTGTATGTTGTTCAAAAACAATATATTGTGTTCAGCATACCGTCAAAATCTCATACCGGCCCATGCCTACATATAATGTTTTACACACACGCATAAATAAAACATTCAGTTTTTCAGTACTTTCCTATTTTTGGTCTCTATATATATATATATATATATATATATATACACATACATACATACATACATACATAAAAGACCGTTCAGAATCAAGTATTTGTAGATAGTGTGTACTAAATAATGGTGTAGTTTGGTGCCAGTAAGTTTGCCTGAAGTTCTGCTTAATTAGCTTTTTGGGGTGTTTGAATATTTCACTAGCTTTTTAACTTGATCAAAAGGTCTGAGTACTGAGGTATATAATGACCTAATGTGAATGGATAAGATTGCTGTGGTCATTTAGCTTGCCACATCTAACCTGAATAGAGACTGCAGAAAATAGTCTAGAGTGGCATTAATATTGATGGCTGGTGCAGTATTTCTCTTTGTGCTGATCCATTGGGCTCTTTAAATTAAGTCAGATTATTTAAAGGAATGGCCTGTCATTACATCTTTACAATGAAAAGCATAATATCTTGTCCTATTTTTCATGCTGACTAAAATCAACCATGTTTATTTGTCATCACCGTTTATTTCAGTTTCTCTTTTTTTCATGCATGTATTTTGTCCTTCTCTTTTTCCTGTTATCTGCTTGTTTCCCAGCATTTTGTTTCAAGAATTTCTTTAATGATCTCTGCAGAATTTAAAGAAGCCTTCCTTCTGTTTGACCGGACGGGAGATGGGAAGATCACCTATAGTCAGTGTGGGGATGTGATGCGCGCGCTGGGCCAGAATCCCGTTAATGCAGAGGTTCTCAAAGTCCTGGGCAACCCAAAGGCAGAAGGTAGGACAAGACACTATGGATAATGGCTGACCTGTATAATCATTGCCTTAATATCATGTCTTATCTTGTCTCTTTCTGTATTTTATAGAATAAGATATTTCAATGCTCAACAGTATGAATTTTTATCTGCTCGGCTGGTTGTTCAGATTTGTGCTTGCCCTGCCAATATTTTTCTGACCTCACAATAAAAATATACACTTTATTTTTAGTGGCATATATTAATTTATAAAAAAAGAGATTACATCACTTACTCACCAATGAATCCTCTGCAATGAATGGGTGCCGTCAGAATGAGAGTTCAAAGAGCTGAATAAAAACATCACAATAATCCATGTGACTCCAGTCTATCAGTTAAGGTTTTGTGAAGTGAAAGGCTGAACTGTTGAACTATTGAAAAGGGTGTTTAAATGCATAAAAACATGTAGTGACAACAGCACTGGGCTGTTATCTCAACTGACCCGAAACTCTTTCACACTAGCCCATCATTATTTTTAAGCCCTGTATTTGTGTAAGAAGTAATATTTTGCTTAACTATGATAATTATAGTAGTAGTTCTCTCTTCCTGGATAATATGGAAATAAATGCTTTCTTGTCTGATTAAAGATTTCTTTGTTCCTCAGAAATGAACCATAAATTGCTGGACTTCGAACAGTTCCTGCCCATGCTCCAGGCCATCGCTAAGAACAAAGACCAGGGCACGTTTGAGGACTTTGTGGAGGGGCTTAGAGTATTTGACAAGGAAGGCAATGGCACAGTCATGGGTGCTGAGCTTCGCCATGTTCTCACCACACTGGGTAAGCCGGCCTGGTCTCCCGAGAAGATATTTATAGCCCACTCCTCCACATCTAGGCCACTGAATTTAGACATGGTTGAATTGAAAATTATGGTGTATTGGTATGTAGTGCTCTAATTGCGAAACATTTATACATGGGTTTATTTATTTTCTTTATAGGAGAGAAGATGACCGAAGAGGAGGTAGAAGCGCTTCTAGCCGGACACGAAGATGCTAACGGTTGCATCAATTACGAAGGTAAACAACTGAGTTTGATTATGCATATACGTTCATGATGAGAGCACTCACTGTTCTACGAGCCTAGTAGTTTGTGTGTACAACTTAATAAAAGTACATTTGAATACAAAATAGATCATTGTGCTGGGAATTACATGATTGTATGAATGTATTACGTTTATGCACCACAATGGAAGAAAACATTATATGCATATGCAAGTTCTTTTAGCGAGAAACCGATCTTGAAGCATGCCGTAACTGTAACTGATCTTCCACAGCCTTTGTTCGCCACATCATGTCTGGCTGAGAGATGTCTCGGGTGTACGTCTACCTCCTGCCCTCAACATTTATAACACGTGAAGCAACAATCCATCCAGGCTTTTTTGTTAAAGCTCTCAGACGCGCGTGATTTCATAGTCCACACCAGTGGTTCTCGAACCTCTCCATGAAGTACCCCCAGCACTGCACATTTTGTATGTCTCCCTATATCTGACACACCTTACAGCAGTGATGGGCAAACTTGGCCCTTCCAGGCCACTTTCCTGCAGAAATTTGGTCCAACCCTGATAAAACTCACCTGCCCGTAGCTTTCTAGTAGTCTTGAAGACAATGATTAGCTGGTTCAGGTGTGATTGATTAGAGTTGGAGCTAAACTCTGAAGGAAAGTGACCTGGAAGGGCCAAGTTTGCCCACCCCTGCCTTACAGTCTCCACTAATGAGCTGATGAGTTGAATCAGGTGTGATAGATGAGGGAGACATACAAAATGTGCAGGGCTGGGGGTACTCCAGGACAGGTTTGAGAACCACTGGTCTACACCTTATTATTTTGCTACATTCAACATAATATATACATGCAAAAGGTAACTGTGCAATATGTGACGTCTAGAGCTAGAAAGCCTGGTTGGATGTAGTTTGAAGGTTTTGACATATGGTTGGACTCTTCCCTATCTCTGCAGCAGCCTTTCCTCAGGCCCCTGGCTGCAGCATGCTCTCTCAGAGGCGAAAGGGCAACTGCACTGCTTCAGACTTGAGCGCATGTCAAGGGTTGTAGCATAACAGGGTGTACCGCTTTGAAAAGCATTTCATTCAGTCTTAGATTTGTCTTTTGATATCAGCTCCCTCCCTCCCTGTGCTCACCAAGCAGTGTGGTTGCTTTTATTATGAACTAACCAATCAAATTGCAGTGGTTTGGCTGTTTTTGCTGACCTTTCTCTCCCTTTTCCTGATGGAGGCTGATCCATAGCTCAACTCTACGATCTCTCATTACTGTAGCTGTGCTATAAAACTGTTTCCACTCTTGCCCTGTAGAGGAAAACCAGAAGGAACTTTAACATTTTCTTGAATCCTAGACCTGGTTAAATCTTTGAGCTGGTGGTTTAGTAGGAGCTAGCCATGATCTTGCTCTCACCCTGTTTCTCACCACTTATGAACGAGTACAACTGGGGAACGGCTTCCAACTACAGCAAAAGTCGCAGGCTAAAGGCAATTTTTCAAGGGTCGATGAGGTTATGTGAAGGGCATTTGGATGCTATTATTATTATTAAAATTATATATTTTGTAAATATTTATTAAATTATTTATATATTGAACCGAATCATTTAAACGGTTGATTCATTCAGGAACGAAACACCGTCATGTTGCTCAGAGACACAAAACAGCGCTGTGGCTGTATTCGGGATGATTTTTGTTGGCGAAATAGAGCAAAAACAAGCAATATGGTGTCTAAAACGTAAGTCTCTTAATTAACTTATTGTTTATTGAATTCAATGTCACATTTGTAATCATGGTAATTTTTGGAGAAAAACGGCACTCTTCGTGTGAAATTGAATAACTATATGAAGTGGTATACATTTTCTGCCATCATATCTTGAATTTGTGATCATTCTAAATGCATTTTAATAGACTGAATTGTGCAGTGAAAGAACGCACTCTAAATGCACACGCACTAGTCTAGACTTCACGTAATGTATGCGTGCGCTCTGTAGGGATGTTTTGAATGGTTTTTGCAAAATACTCGATAATGTCAAATCGCACATCGTTAAAACAACAATTACGATATTATCGCAGACAATATATATCGCACACCCCTAGTTTGCACTCATTTTGGGTATTATTATTATTAGAAGTGCCTTTATCTTCTTTAAGTTCCCATATGACTCTCCAAGAGGTCCACCTCCTGTCCTGTGGTATTCAAACCATTAAGCGATATGAAAAAGATCTCTTGGGTGCCGACTGGTCTGCAATAAAACCTCTTGATGCAAGACATTAGCAGTGTGTATGCAATATCCAATGTATCCTCAGGCATCTCTGCTGGACTGTGCTGTAGTAGAAATGTCGTGTCTGGCCAGACTTTTATTTTTGGCCTTTTCAGAAATAAGTTACCTTTTTCAAATGGAGAAATTATGAATCGGAAATGCAATAACATTTTAATTAACTTGGAATGTTCTCACTGTCCAATAAAGTACATTTTAAACAGACACTACTTGTTTGTCTTACTTTCAGATTCTTCCAGAGTCTTGTTTTAAAGATTGTAGAAAAAAATGGTTGTAATATGTTCCCTAAATGTACAGAGCTTTGAGTCCAGTTGAACTTGCCTCTCTCCTGTTTGCAGATAGATGGCAGTGTTCTTACACTTTGATGAAAGCTGAACTTGTTGAAAGTCACCCCCCCAACCAGTATCTTTTAATTGATTGTGGTTAATTGGAAAAACCAAGCTGTCTGAAGGGAACTTCTTTTGCAGTTAGACTAATGCAATTCAAATTATCACTATTTGGTTTCAGGTCAGTGATTTAAATTAAAGGTAAACATTGTTGGCACTAAGATGTTTAGTGTCTTTGGGACTAATTTGTCTCAATTGCTTATAAGGGCAAATCTCAGGCAGACAGGCATATAGTGGGTTTTAGAAACCAGCTTTTTTTCATGCTCACCTGAATTTACAGCTGCAGTTTTTCCTTTAATTTGAAGAATCTCAATGGACATTTGAAGATTAACAATTGGCATGGCAAAACAAAGGAGCATTAGGAAATAATATAAAGAAATTACTTTTTGTTATTTTCATTAATACAAAAATCTATCTACCTGTCTATATAAAGGCACGTCTAATACTGTTTTGTGTGTGTGTGTGTGTGAAAATTAATTATTCAAACAAATTGCTCAAAAGTGACTTTTTTTAATAAATCTTGAATTCTTTAAAATGCTGTTCTTTTAAACTTTCTATTCATCAAAGAATCTTGAAAAAAAGAGATATCACTGTTTCCATAAAAATAATAAAAATGTTTATTGATCACCAAATCAGCATATTAGAATGATTTCTGAAGAATCATGTGAGACTAGTAATAACTGCTGAAAATATCGCTCTGCCATCACAGAAAAAAAAATAAAATATATAAAACTTTTATTAATAATTGTAATAATCCTATTTTTTTAATCAAATTTAGTGGTTTTCATAATGCTGTCTCAATAACCATCTATTTGTTTGTATAATGACATGTATAGTTTGTAAAGGCTTTGCAGGTGTCTGTCTGTATTACTGTCATATATATCTCTGTAACTGATCATATATCTCTATTGAAAAAAAGTCATGATTTTTTTATAGGTAAAAGAACATCATATAAGATGTAATTTGAGGGTTTGTTTGGGTGTGCTGAAATACCCCATGATGCATTGTGTGCCGAGAGGATCCCATCAACAGCTCACTGACCTTTTCTCTCTCTCCGCTCGGCAGCAGTCAGAACTATTTCCCCCTCATTAGACGGCACATACACTCTCCGAGCGAGAGCCAAGTATCATAGACCAGTGGTGAATAGGTCCTCCACTAATTACTGAATTCATTTTGCGCGGATTTGTGTGGATGTGCATGCTGGTCTGTTTCTGTGCGCACTTGTGCGAATGTGTTGGAGGCAAGTGAAGTGTATTGATTATTTTAATCTGCCTATTTGTGAGTCTGTGATCCTCGTGGCTCTGCATTCAACAGGGGAATCACTAATGGGCCTCAGCGCAGGCCGCCTCAGACCTCTCCCTGTCCAATTAACTTTCAACTGGAATCTGGCAGGAGAGCGCGAGGAGGCTGGCCACGGACACGCCGAGATCCCCCACACATTCCCACAGGCTACAGATTCACCAAAGCCTTAAGGCCGGAATGTTATTACCTCTCGCTTTTAATTAAAGGATTCTCTCTTCGTTTTAGCCCTGACATGCACAGGTAGAATCCTAGTATTGTTCATGTCATTGTTCTTGTTTTTCTTTTCTTTTTTGTCTCTCTCCAAGACACTGAATTTTCATTAATAGAACTGTCTGGTAAACTTTTTTTTTTTCTTAAATTATTGTAGTAGAGAATATACATGACAGAAATAATGTTTGCCATATTTATATATATATATTGTTATTTTAGTATTCACCTAACATGCTGCAAGGTTTTTGTATAGTCAGCTGTACAAATGTGACATAAAAATGAGGCAGAGATATTTGAATATTATTTATTATTGAATTGTTTATGAATAGGGAATGTTTTTGGTGTTTTGACATGTTATTTGTATCAGTGTATTTGCACATGGCACGACTTGGATCAACAACTCCTTCATGCTGTATTTCTTAGAAAAATGTATCAATACAGGTTATGAATCTGTATTAAAATTCCAATTTAAAATGTTTAGGGACACAGTTTTTCAGATTTATCATTCAAACCTTTGGCCTTTTTTATTTGATGAGATTTCTCATGAAATAGCAACCTTACTGGGCTTGATAGCACAGAAAAATGTATAAAGCTTGATTTATAAATGTGTAACTTCTATAAAAACATATTCTAAAATATAATACATACAAACTCATTGATCACTGTGAAAGTGTATTGACCACCACGTTCCTTCTCTTAAATGTGATGTAGAAATGCTACATTTGAAATATATTCTCTTTTAGTGGCCAGAAATTAAATTAATTTCTTAGAATTTTGCTTGCCTATTTTCTCTTAAATTGAAAATCAGTAAATCTACAATTTCTGTGTAAATAATTCTGTAACATAATGCTGATATGATATAAAATGTATACTTCCTTGTCAAGTGTAACATTTTGATTTTGATTTCAAACCAGAGTAGAGTTTTATATCGTAATCTCTTTTATCAGACTTACACAGAAGGGAACATCCTCCCCTTTAAAAAGCACAAACTCATTTCATTTATTTGTGTGATTAAAACATTGTATTTGGTTAAATTTGAATAGTCAAGTCTTATTAGCCTAAATCAATACATCAATGTTCTGGTCCGGCTCATATTCTTTAGACTGATTGGAAATCTATCTTATCTGGTTGTAGTGAGCCATTGTGTGTAATTACACTCCTGTGTGTCCACGTGCATTAGCCATATTTCCAATTCCACACAGACAACCAAAGCAGTCACTTTAAGTCAAATAAATTGAACAGGAAGACTTAGATTAATCACTAGCCCTGCGACGTGTGTGCACGCATATATACATGCCCGTATTGCGCTACGGCTCCGTCTAGTGAGTGAAAATTACATTTACGCACTGATTTTCTTTCAGGTCCAGCCATGTGTAAATGCAGCTCAGTTCACCATAAAGCATGTTGACTAGTGAGTTTGAATATCTGGTTTTGATTGACACACACAATGGAGACAAGTACACTAACAAGTACACATGAAAATATGAGTGTGTCACTGTCCAGGATAGATATAGACATATATTTATATGCATTTTAATTTAAGTTTGGGAGTAGTGTATAATGTATGATAGTTATAATTTACACACATACAAACAGCGTGTCACATATTCTCTTGCCTTATGAAAGGAATTGGTTGCGGTTATGTCTCTCAAGCCCTTCTGCTCTGTATAAACCATGTCCATTTCTTTCAAGCCTGTTCGGTGTGTGTACGTAACTGTATGAGTGTGTGTGTGTTCATACACAGTACATTTGAGTGTGTAGAGCAGCATCATGAGCAGGTCAGTCAGCATAGATGAGGAAACCAGAGAACGTGCTGTATTTGTTGGTGTTTCCTCCGTGGACTTTCCCTCCGTCCAGCTGCACACAGACCTCATCTCCTACGTCTAAATGCAGGATCACACTGTTGGAGGCGTAGTCATAATTCTGATCAGCATCCTGGGCGATAGCGCTGGCCCTCACCTGTCACACACGGGAGAAATGAAGCCATGGTTAGAGGAAGGACACAGAGCAGATCGCAACAATTTACAGATTAGATTCCCAATATTCCAGTACACTTGAATGATACTAAAATGTAGACGAAGCACTAAAAATATTTATAATCATTTAGTGATGATCATTAGACTAAACAGCAAAATATGACTAAAGCACAACATCATGAAGTGTGACATTTGGAGCTTTTAAAATGACGCAACAACTTCTGACAGTGAAATTTATTATAAATAAGCACAGACTGCATTCAGTGACTTTTTCATTATCATATATGAGAGGAGAAATTAATAAGCATGTTTTTTGATGTTTTTAAAATAAATACAGAAACCACTATAACACCATTATGAGCTTGGAAAGATTTGGACTTGTTAAACCTGTAGAACTAAAGGAAATTAATAGACACAATTTAATATTAGCACAAATTAATAATTTGACGTTTTGTCATATTAATAATAATAAAAATTTAATTTTAAATGTAAAACATTTAATTAGCAGACAAAAATAATGAATTGTAATTGATTTTAAGGTCGTTCCTTCTCCTTTGTAGGAAAACAATTTTCAATTTTGTTTTCTTCAGATTCCATATGCATTTTAAAATGTTAAAAAACACCATAACAATTTCCAGCTTGGAAAGATTATTTTTAATTAAAGAAGAAGTAGAAAAAAATAACAATTAAAAATAATTAAATATATTTTATTATTAAAAATAATAAACATAATAATTACACATTTTTTAATTAAATTAATAGACAAAAATAAGGAATTATAATTGATTTCATGATCTTTCCAGTTCCTTTTTAGGGAAATAAAAAATTAGTTAGATTTTTTTTTCACATTACAGATTATATGCTTTTTTACAATAATGGCAGAAACCACTATAAAACCGTTTCCAGGTTGGAAAGGTTTTGTTTTGTTCTACAGAACTAAGATAGATAGATAGATAGATAGATTAATTATTACATTAAACTATTAAACTAATTAATATGGATTATATATTAACATTATATATTATTAATAAAGCTAAATGAAATTATGTATCATATGATTTAAAAGGAACACATTTCTGGTAAATGTAGATAAATTGGTGCTGTGAAGGTATAAAAAAGGTTGGAAAATACTGCGCTATAACCATATCTCTACATACAGATGCTCTCTTGCATGAAAGAGGCCTTGTTTTATCATCTCTATGGCAGTGGAATGGAGTCATTATTAAATGATACTCCGACAAGGGCTGGTCGGGTTAAATGGATGGGGCTGCAGATAGCCTGCTGACCTCCACCTCAATTGAGAAAGCAGTCACACTCAGTCTCTTCTATTTATCTACTGTAGGATCGTGTAGCTAGACCTATATGGGTAATGCTAAATCTGTACTATATCCCTTCCTCATATTGACCTGCTGAATTTAATCACAAGCACACGTATCATGCAAACCGCAATGAGACTGTTTACTGGAGATTTGAACTCATTTAAATTCTGCTTGAGAGATCAGCCGTATTGACTCCCAGCAGTGGATCTGAAACTTGTTTGTTAACATTTTAAATTGAGATTAGTCATGTGGTCAGACAGACGTACATTCCTGCATAAAGATGCAATTAAAAAGGACCAATACCTGTGATAAAACAGATACAAATATACTGCATTAAAGTTTCATATCCTTGCAATACAATTTAGACATTAGCCGTGTGATATTTTATCATCATTTTTTTGTATCTTAGCTCAAGTATTCTAAAAAGAAAAAAAGGGTAATGTTTTAGAAGACAGGTGTCAGATGACAGACAATGATTGTCAGGCATTTTGCTCAGTCGTGTTATAGCCACTCAATCTCTATCAGGTTTCCTAAATAAATGGAGCGAGTCTATCCTAGGAAAAAAATACAATGATATGCATGGTGTCAGTAAACATCCTCATATAACATGCCATCACTCACTCAAATGCCTCTTGTTTTATTGGGTGTGTTATTCCCCTGAGAAACACCCACAACCACAGCCCACATAAAACACACTGACCCCAGACCGAGATAAACTCCTTCCCATATCTGTAATCTAATAGCCCCACTCCATTACCATCACGATACTGTCAACGTCTGCACAATGTCCTGAGTGGAGACTACCGCCATTTAGATGCTTTATTGAATACCAATCTGTATAATGATGTTAGGGAGGTTTAAAATGCAGCACTGTAGGACAAATATATCAGTTTTAAATTGATTTTGCAGAGCAGTGATAGATATTTGTCATTTGCAATTTGAAAAATACCCTTGCACGTTTTCACAAGCATGTGTAGAGACATGCAGCTTCAAAATGGACTCTATTTGCAAAAAAAATAAAAATAATAAATTTAAATAACCAGTGACTATAATGACCAGTGATCAACCAATATTGGATTTACATTGGTTATTTTAAGTGTTCATTATAAGAACTGAGTTTTAAAATATTTATTTTATTTTATGACAATAAAAAGCATAACATTAACTGTGAATATTATTGATAACAGTAGTAGTCAAAAAAATCATAATGAAAGATGTTTTATTAATCAGAAAATAGCAATTATTATTGATCATATTAATTATAATAATTAACTATATTAATAAAATCATGATTGTTATAATAATAATAATAGGTATTATTACAAATATTATTTATTACTTTAATTATAATAGTTAAATTAAATCTATTAATCAAATCACAATGAATATACTACTACTACTACTATGGCTGGAAGTTTAGATGTGTAAACAATCATATTATTTCACCTGAAGATATTCATTGTGTTGATGTGTGATGTGAACAGCATTTTTGGCTTGTCCCTGTTCAGTTTGCATCAAACAGTTGTGTTGGGTTGCCAGTCCCTGGAGAAACCCCTATTCCAACTATATCTCACATAAAAAAAAAAAAATGAAACAACTACACAATCTTTCACATCCAGATCTAACACCCACACTACAGTGATCTACACAGTGGACCGGTCAATAATCTAAATATTGAGTGGGTGAATGAATGCTGTCATTGGTATGTGTGACTGAATGTGAATACCAGCTAGTGCAACAATGATATTTTCTTTATAGTACACATCAAAGTATGTCACATCTGAATTATTTTTACTGCAATGACACAATGACTTAAGAAAATAAAATAAAAAGACCATAAAATTGAGGGGGTCAATATGGTGTGCACATCATTCCACGTCTGACAGTGACGGCCTGGCCTCCTCTCCCTATCAACGCACAGTGTACGTCATTCCCCTCATTATTTTGGCTAAGTGGGCAAAGGGGCAGTTTCTCCCTCCGGCATACCCCTGTGTTCGATACGACAACGCGAGCGGTCACTTTAATTAGCAGACATCCGGCAAAGACCATTTAAGACCTTTCTTCGCTTCCATTGATTCTCATCTTGTATTTTTGGGATCAGTTACACTGAATCTGAGCGCCCGGGGTTTAGACATCTCCCACAAAGGGCGCTTGTTAGATGCTTCCCGGCATTTATCAAATATAAGTGATATGAAAGCTTGTCTTGGAGGGAGAGGGAGAGAGGCATTTTAGGATTACCGTTGACTGCACTGGAGATGGATATTGACATGAGAGCCGACTACTTGTGAAACGCCACGCTGACTTGATCTCAGCGCCGGCTGCGAGCAAGGACCCTCGGGCCTGCTGGGGGCTTGTTCTGCCAGACCTTTTCATTACAGGGAGGGGAAGGATGGAGGGGGGCACATCTGCGGCAGCATTTTATACATAACCAGAGCCGAGGAGAAAGACAAGGGTTTAAGGAGAAAATAGGAGGGGGAGGTTCGGATAACAGTCTGATCAAGCAAGGCTATTTTGTGAGAGCAGCAAGATGCAAGGGTATATGAAGTCTTGTTTTTATCAGTGGTGCCATGCTCCAGCGGTAATAAAACTGACAGGATTCATTCTCCGAGATATACAGACCTCTTAGAGCGGAGACAATGGAAAACTAGCTCTTAAACTTACCTAAGGGACTGAGCACATGGGAGGGGAGGGAAAAGACTTAAGCAAAAAAAAAAAATGGAACCTTTATTGAATAGCTCCGTTTTGCCTCAAAGGGAGAATCAATTTTGTTTCGCTTCTTAAGAGAGTTATGCTTAATTGGCATACTGTACAAGCGTGGCATTGCATACTAATACTAATAGTGCGCACTATAACAGCGGTTACAAGCTCTGTGAACATAGGTTCAATCACTGTATGGATATAATCAACTGGTTAAAGGGTTAGTTCACCTAAAATGTACATTTTGTCATCATTTGCTCACTCTCATGTCATTCTAAACCATTACAACACAAAAGAAGATGCTTTGAAAAATGCTGGGGTTCAAAACAACATTTGTCCCTATTGACTGTCATTGACTCAAAAAACATCCATCTTCTTTTATGCTTTGCAGAAGAAAGAAAAGAATCTCATGCACGTGTGAATACATGACGTCAGAATTGTCATTTTTAGTTGAGCTATCCCTTTAACAAGTGACACCATGTAAAATGTAATGTGTATGTCACCTATGCATTCCATTTGACTTATTTTTAATCAGTTTATATGATTTCCCTTAAAACTATTTAGCAATTGACTATATGCACGGTTACTTCCTGGTTTTAGATAAGCCAGCATTTCCGGTCAACTGTCAAAATCAACTGTGCTATAACGGGAGCGCCCTTTGCTCGGTTTCTCTACATAATCCATTCACAATATGAAGAAAAGTTTTGTTTGTATAAGAGGACCAAACATCCACGTGTACAGTTACAGGAACGACCTCTGTGGAATGAACATGAGCGTAAAAAATTAAGTGAGTGAATCCACTCAGAGCTGTGCATTAAGTGATTCAGAATAAGTTCAGAGTAACAAAACTACAGCAGTAACAAGTCTGTTGGCGGAATATATTTAGCAGCTTCTAGTTAAAGATAAAACTTAAAAATTTAGTTTTTAAATTAAATCTAAAAATATTTCAAAATATTTAATGGATTAT